ACACCAACCCGGCTGCCCTGCGCATTGCCCACCGAGCGCATCCCAAAGGTGAGCGGTGCCAGAGCCACGCAGAGTTGCCAGCCGGGCCCCTTGCCATCTCAGACAGCGTGCCACATGCCAAGTCTTGCTGCCTCAGAAATGTTCTTCCCCCAGAACCTCCCACCTCAGAGAGACACTACTCAAGATGTTGCTCCCCTCCAGGGGGGTCAGCCGAGCGCAGTGCTCAGACCCGCAGGACAGCAGGCAGGAAGCTAACGCAGTTTCCTTGCGTTCCTCAGGCCTGGTGCTGGTGACGGACGCGATCGCTGGCATGGGGCTGGCACCCGGGCGGCACACGCTGGGCCAGCAGGTGGTGGAGATTGACGGGCTCAACACCTACATTGCAGGTAAGCGCCGCTTGCAAAGGAGCCGTGGTCACCATTGCCCTTCCTGGCAGCACAAGACAGTGCTTGTGCCTTCCTCTTGGATTGTGTGGCCCCGTAATTAATAGCTGTGTAATAACTTGGCCCTGGGATGGTTGCAGTACTTCAAGAGGAGGGCATGGGCCCTGTTTTGCTGCAATGAGCTGAGAAACACTAGGTTCCTCCTATCCACAACACCTTGGGACCTGTTATTGCACAGGATGCTACAGGTTCTGGTGGGGATAGAAAGGAGAGGGAAATTCCACAGACATTTATTGTTCTTTGTCTTCACTATAATACCACCACTTTTGGTTAAAGAAGTCCTCAAACTGCAAACAGTTGAAGACTGCAGGGATATTTCAGGGGAGAATCATCCTTTGCTCAGTACACTGACCCTGGCAGCAACTGCCTGAGCTGCAGGCTGGGATTTTGTTCAGTCCAGCTGGTCTGATGGTGAAACTGGGGTGTTTTTTTTTCTCAGCACTCCTCCCCGCTCTGCCAGAATGGGCTGTGTCTCCCCTTGTTCAGTCACTCAGCAGCAGTGGCTGAGAGTCCTCCAAGTTGCTTCTTATAATCCCAAATTTTCCACCTTCTTGCGTTTCGCCTCCCCCTGTATTTTTGACGCCTGCTGTGGGGACGTGCTCAGTGCTGTCCCGCTCCTCTCGCAGGCACGAAGACCCTGAGTGGCAGCGTAGCGACCATGGACACGTGTGTGCGGCACTTCCTCGAAGCCACAGGTAACCGGCCTGGTCCCCAGGCCTGCGGGGACTTGGGAAAGCCCTTGCTCTTGCTCAGCCAGGAAGTGCTTCTCTTTGCCCAAGAGATGAGGGGAAGGGCTGAGATCACTGGCATGGGCCTCAGATGAGCACTTCTTTGAGCAGCAACCTCATTTGAACTTGCAGTAGCAATAACCAGTGAACTCTCTTGCCCTTTTCTCACGAAGATATTGAAGGTAACTCTTTACCTCTCCCCATACCCTAGATATTTAGCTCTCCTCTCCCTGCTGTCTTGATAGGGATGTTTCCCCTCCTCAGCTCCATCCTGCTGGGATGACAGCATGGGCAGCCCCTCCAGCACTTTTTGTACATAAGCTCTTAGGAGTCCAAGGAAAAGGCAGCATCCCCTAGGGAGATCGGATGCTAATGCCTTCCCGCAACAGGAGGGGAGAAATTTCAGTGCTGGAAATACCGTGGTGCCCTGTGGGTTTGGTCATCCAGGCGAGTCCCTGCCAGGTGCCCTTTTGGAGGAGTTTCCCTGCTGTGTTTGTCCCCAAGCCATTCCCTTAGGGAAGAGATGCTGGTGCTGCTCTGGCACCGGGTCTGTGTTTGCTGCCTAAAGCTCTTCCTCTGCTCAAGGGTGCTCCGTAGAGACCGCCTTGGAGGCAGCATCTCTCCATCCCGCCCAGCTCCTGGGGATTGAACATGAAAAGGGAACCCTGAATTATGACTCCGATGCAGGTACTGGTATGGGGACAGCAGTGTGACTTCTCATGCCCAGGGCTCCTGGGGGCTGTCACTTCTGCAGTGGGGAGCAGCTCTTTCCTAAGAGTCCTATGTCTTTAGACTCTATGTCTTTAGGACTCTGCTAACGCAGAGTCTGGTTCCCCCCAGTCGGATTCAGCTGCTCTGCTTCCCTTCCCTCTGTTCCTCCCTGATGGCTCTTCCTTTCTGTCCTGTCTGGTGCAGATTTCCTGATGCTCAGCGACAGTCTGTACGTGCAAGCCACGTACATCGCAGGCGAGCGGGTCTGGCGCCGGGACGCGTCGGGCATGTGACGCTGGAGCCCCCGCAGCTCCCTACCACTGTGGTTGGCAGCTTTGGAAACCACCCCACTTCTCTCTTCCTTCCTGCAACTCACTTAAAGGAGCCTCATACCAAAGAGCTGTGTTTTCCAGCACAACCACTGCTTCCAGTCACAGCCATGCCTGCAACGAATTTGTTGGTGCTCAGTCGGTGGAGCGGGGAAAAACAGGCAGATCAGTGTTGTGGGGAAGGGGAGGACAGTCACTAGTCCCTGGGGTGACCTGTAGGGCTGCAGAGCTGCCCTATGCAGAGCCCCAGGCAGAGGTGCTACCATCACTGTCTTCGAGCAGCGTGGGGCTTGTCCTGGCCTTGGTGCTGCTTCGTCCAGCACACACTGTCCTGCCTGCTGTGCAGGGCAGGCTCCAGCCATCCCTCCTCTCCTTGCTGTTTGCCTTACTCGGGGGCCGCCGTGCTTGACTGGACATCACCTTCCACCAGCCCAGCTTGCAGCTCTTCATGTCAAAAGGCAGAAGTTGAGCATCCCGCTCCGGTGCCCCAGAACTTCCTCTGTTACGTGGCCTCTGGAGCCGCTCGCTGAGCCGGCGCTGTTGCGGGGCTCTGTTTCTGTAGGGCTGGATCCTCAGGGCAGAGATCAAACCCAGGAAAACCAGGCACTGCTGGCCCTTTGTGCCTTCTCCTGCACGGGCATAGAGCCCCCAGCCTGCGGTTTCTGCTGGAGACACGGACAACGTCCTGCCCCAGGAAGCAGGGGCAGAGGGGAACCCTTAGCTCTGGCTCTGGGCTCTGCACCCAATGAGGGTTTGATGCTTTGCTCAAGCCACAGGAGCAGTGTTTTTACTTAAGGAGATACGTCCAGCCCGTTAGTGACTGTTTCACAAGCCCTTGGTCCAGCTTGGGGGCTAAGGGAAAGACAGCGGTGGCCTTTGGGCCTTCCATGACAGCTGGCAATAGCTCATTGCTCCCCTGCTCCCATTCCCTCTCCAATACTTGGCTATCAGCTAACATTCTGACACTTGAAAACTTCTTCTTGGGGACCGAGTATGACTTTGAACCTACCGCCATCAGAAAAGCCTCATGATGAGCCACAGGCTCAGCCTGAGCAGCCCCCGAGCCCTTAGAGGAGATGTGCAAGACTCAGACCAGGGCTCGGCTGGTAGAAGGGGCGGATTTTTCCCCAGTACCTTTTTATATGCAGTTGCAGCACCATTTGGAAGTGCTTTCCTAGGATGTTAAAGCCCTGCTGGAGCGAGCGGTGGCCTGGGAGCCTCCCTGGCAGCTCGTACCTGTGTCCGCGAAGCTGTGGTGCTGGAGACCCCCCAGCACAGGCCGCGCCAGCGCCTCCGCTCACTGCTTGTCTGAAGAGAAAAAATTAAGGAAGTGAAAGAAATAAAATATCCAAGGGAGAAACAATATGAAACAAGGTGTCCTCTGCTTATTGGTTTAGAGAGAGAGAAAAAAAAAAAGAAATCTAAAAGGGGTGTGGACGGGGCCGGGGCCGCAGCGGAACC